TCTCCATTCTACCCATGTTGTCATGATATAGTTGGTTAGTAATTTAAAAATAAAACTCCAAAAAATTTTATGCCATCAAGTCACTTCTGGTGTGCAATAACTATCTGAGCCACCTAGAGTGGTCACAAGACCAGATGGGCGGGGTATAAATTAAATAAATAAATAAATAATGTCCTTCACAATTTTCTATTGTTGACAACTTTGCACAGATTTAGCAAACTAACAACCTATCATGTTAGGTCGTCCTTTTTTCTCGGTTCTTTTAGCACTGTGCAGTTCTATGTGAGAGGTAAGATCTATGGGATACCTTCTTATCCTGACTACCATTCACAAAGAGACTCCAAGCAGGGGAAAATCTCAGAAACTGACTCCTTTTTTCATCAGCCCAAGCACAAAACAAGTGTCATGGCTATTTTTCAACAAGTCATATTGTTACAAAAAAGAAGAAAAGCAAGCATAAGACACAGCACCACAAAGGCAACACACTGGCAAGCAGATCAGGGACCCTTTATAGATGCAAATGGTATGGATAAGAACCTAAGCATTTTCAGATGTGTCTGTATATGCCAAAGGCTATAATCAATTGTTCAAATCTCTAATGCTTAAATTTATAACTTTTTGAAATATAATTTCTCTCTCTGCTTTTTTGTATTCTCTGATTATGCTTCTTAAGGCTAGGAGCTCTTGTATTTTCTTATTGAAATATGATTTATGTCCCTGATTTAACATACCTAAAATCTTGTGATTTTATTGTTTTTTCTGACTGGAGTATTTCCTTGCAACTTAAGTTTAATCTTCATATTTGTTAAACATTTATACTTATGTGTTTTTTATGGCTGTAAGATTGATTTTTGTCTATCTGTAACTTGTAATGTCTCTGTGTATTGCACTCCTAGTTGGCTGCTGAGCTTATGGTTCAGGGAGAAGTAGAAGCTGCAACAGAATATTTCAGCTCATTTTCATATCATCATAGTGTGCTCTTAACCATAGTTCTTGCCAGACATATCCTTTTCTAGGATAAATTCTAAGGATCTCAAGTAGACCATTAATTTTTTCCTCTTCTGTTTTCCCATTCTCTATTTTTCCTTTCCAAATAACACTGAACCTTTCTTGGCTCCTGGAAGCCACTAAATATCAAGCATGCTCACTGAGGGTTTTTTTCCCATCTTGACAAGATGTATTTTAGTTGGTAAATTATCATCTTCTTGTTAGTGTTGAACAGTGTCCTTTAACATTGGCAGTGGTGAGCATGTGTTACAAATGAGAGGGTTGTTTATTAAACAACTCCAAGTCTCTGAGATTGCTACTGCCAAGAAACAATTAAACAGAAAATAGGGGACCGTTATTTTGGTTGCTCTTTTGAAACATAGGCCTGTTAGTTAATGCCTGGGATGAACAGGCCAAGAGAGGAGGGGGAGAAAGTGCCCATTGATTGGGAAGTAATGCCATCTGGATTTATCACAGTGAGAAGCAATCTCCAAGGTCACCACTTACTCCTTGGTCCAGAGCTAAGAGTAAGACATCCACAACAAAAACCTCCTCCAACTTTCAACAGTCTGGGCAGCAACCAGACGGAAGTCCAAGGAAAACAGGGGAGGATTTTAAGACATTTGCTCTCTCTCTGCAACCCAAGGAAAATCTGTCTAATGGTCTGCCCTTACAAAGGAAAAGAAATAATCTGGTCTACTAGGAACCAGGTAGCAAGACATCTAAGCTTTTTTCTGAAGACTCCTCTCTTATTAAATGACCTAATTTCAGTCGAAACTTTAAACAAATATAATCAGATACAAAAAGTAATGTTACTGTTCCAAACCAAAAAAAACTCCATCTTTGATACTGAGGAAGAGAGTCTTATTAAAGAAATTTAGAATATCCCCAACCAGAGTGTTTCACAACCCCAAGATCTATCCCCTCCTCCCAAACCCCATACACAAGTCTCCTGATATAGAGCCAGCAAGAATAGCATTGCCAACACCGAAACCAAGGACAGAGTTTGTTATGGAAGCTGAAGTAATCATGTGGACGGATCCAATGAGCACTGTACATGATAAGGACAGCCATACGATAGATCCGGTGGAGCTAGGGACATCGGCAGCTTTCCCGGGCCAATCAGAGGAAGCAGAATCAGAGATTCTGGTCAGGTTAAAAGAACTGTGCCTTTGGCTACAGAACTCAGCAAGACCTGTTAATCCACCAGAGGGTAACATACAGGACAATGTGGGACTAAATGACA